TATCAAATAGAAAGATTATTATACTGAATGACATTGAGACGTTTAGTGAGTTTCAAAAATAAAATCCTGTGCCATGAGGACTTGATCGATGTCGCTAGCTAAAAGTTCTTAGTAATACCATATGAATAATATCTCTTGTTATCTTAGACTTATGAAGAGCAACAATTTGGAACTAGCAACTGAGTTACAACTCAGGTTAGTAGAACGGATTTGTTTATTGCAGCTAAGACTGGACAGAAATTATTATTGGAATATGCAGCCAGTGCCAATGATGCAGGTAAGAGTAAATGTTCCTTCAGTGTAATAACAAAGTATGAAGCATCCCTTCCCTGGTCATTGCCTTTTTGTGAAACCATCAGAAATTACCCACTGAGCCACCAGGATTCTGATAGCTCAGTGGGTAGATGCATTGACACAGCCTCACATTCTCCCCATTAGGTTAGCAAGTTATGGGTAGAAAATGTGTATTCCATTTCAGACACAGGGACATTCCATGTAGATGACATATATATGCACAAATATCAGTCTGGTTTGGATCCTCTGAAGCAATTCTGCCTACATTGCCTTAATGAGCTTCACCCTAGCTTCAGAGCTGCAGCCCTTTTGCACCAGTGTGGTTAGTTCCATTTCCCATACCAGCAATCCCTTGAATGTCAGATTCTCCAAAGAAGAGTCTGTGCCTAGTGCCACACTAACCAACGAGCTTTATACCACAGACATACAAACAGATTCAGGCTCTGCGGATGAATTCTCCAACTTCATCACCACAGTCCTGGAATTCACAAATGGGCTGAAAGAAATCTGGCTGCTGATTTATGAAGGAGAGCTCTTTGTACACACGTTTAATATTCCTCATGAGCCACCACCCCTCTAATCCCATACTCTCTAATCCCCTCTCCCATACCCTCTAATCCCCTCTTCCGTACTTTCCAATCCCCTCTCCCATACACTCTAATCCCTCTAATCCCCGCTCCCTTACTCTCTAACCCCTCAAATCACCTCTCATCCTTCTCCCATACCCTCTCCTCCCTCCCCCATACCCTTCATTCCCTTCTCTCTCAGGTATACATTATTTTACTTTATTTTTACTTGATTGTAAAACCAGTGAGTGCATTCTCAGGTGATGAGCAGCACCTTTGGACATCTTCCCAATGAGAGAGACGCTATACAAATGTAATTTCGTATTGTACTAAACAAATTGTAAATGTTTGGCTATAATTTCAGATACAATAGTTCCTGTCTCTCCACCTTTGGCAATTCTAGAATTCAGTAAAATGCATAACATTGAACAGAATTTCACTGTAACTCTCTTCATCCCTCCTTTGGTCATTAATCCACCCAACCCAACTGATGACAGAGTTAAACTTCTCACAAAGACTCCTTACTCTGCCTTTGTAAGGTGAGTCTGTCTGGCCTCAAGTGAACAGCATGTTTATATTAATATTTATGCAAAACAGCCCAGTCTATGCTTTTCAACAAGCAACAACAATCTGCACTGAGACAGTATCGTTCACTTAGGAGAATGTTTGAAAGCCTTTTGGAGAGACAGAGTGGGAGCTGGATGGGACATGGGTGGGGGAGGAAGGGGCTTTAATGTGGTGGAAAGTGACTGAATCAAAGAAAGGTATTTTTAAAAATAAGTTTTGAAAACAGAGAGGGAGGGAGCAAGGCTAAGCTTGATCAATGTGTAGGTTTTAACATTTACTAGACTATTTGGGACTGTTCAAAGTTCGACAAGATGCCATGAAGTGACACTTAGATTTACAACATTAACTCATACAAATATAATACATTCAATACAACTCAAACACGTTTCTGTTCTTCAAAATTCATCCCTCCTTCGGTGGTCGATATAGCCAAACCCAAACTTTTAAACTTCTCACGAAGACTTGTTGCAATGTGTAAGTAAGGTGAATCTGGCTGGTGATCTTCATGTTTACATTGATTATCTTGGCAAGCATAGTCTTGTCCACTCTCACATTGACCAATCCCCTCCAGACATTCATTCAAACACCATCCTTCAAATTGGCACCAAGACAATAAGTGCTGCAGGTTATTCTACCACAGCTAAGCCCAATCCTATTGCCATGTGAGATCCACATGCACACATTCAGGATTGTGATCAGGAGCAGAAACGTTGGCTTGTTTCCCTTTCCATACCCCCACTGTACTGAGGACTATTATAATCCCCATCTCTACTGTTCCAGCTCAGTTTAGCTCCTATCAGTACAAACCATCTATTAATCCTGGTGTTGTCTCATTCCAGGAATCACAGGGAAGCTCTGCTATAATACTTGATGGGGTAGTGCAGCCATCAAAGGCAGCTCACTAATGTGCAGACAGGGAATATTACTGGACTAGAAAATGGGAAGAAAATTTTTGAAATATATCTTTAATAATTTTTTCCAGATTTTACGATGAGATAGACACTAATGCTGAACTTGAGGAACATTGGAACAAATTTTTAATTGACTTGGAAGCCGATAATCAATCCTGTGTGAAGCTATTCACTGCAGTTAGTTTGTATGACAACTGTGGACTGATAGAAATTACCTTCCTGAAAAAGTAAACTTGGAAGGTTCCTCTACATTAAATGTGTGAAACAGTGCTTTAATCTGTTCTGCCACTTTAGTTATTTTCTGCCACCACCACTGTCAATAGACATTTAAATATTGGAAATAAAAACAGAAGTCGCTGGGAACACACAGCAGGTCAGGCAGCATCTATGGAGTGAGGAAAATTAGTTAATGTTTCAGATTTATGACCTTTCGTCAGAACTAGGGGATGTTGGAAGCGAGCAGAATATAAGGACAAGCAGAGAAGGGGGTTGACGGTGCAGGACAAAAGAATGCAATAGTGGGAGATTATAGAAAGAAATGATGTGTCTAAGACCCATGATGTGTGAATGGTTATAGAAGAGGGTGAGGGGGAGGCATGGCTGAGAGAAGACGGGAGCTGTGTTTAAGGTCTGAAGTGGTTAAAGTAAATTAAATATTGGAATTAACTTTCTCAATAATAATAATAATCCTTGCATTTGATATAGCGCTTTTCATGTCGGGAGGACGTCCCAAAGCACTTCACAGAACACACTGTAAAGTGAATTGACTGTATATTTGTGGGCGAACGCAGCAGCCAATTGCGCACAGCAATGTCCCACAAACAGTCGTAGATTGAAAATGACCAATTTATTATTGTTTTGGTTTTGGAGGGATTATTATTAGGCGTGTGGAGTAAGGAAACTTGCCCAAGGTTTCGCCCTCTGCCTGGAATTGAACTCAGGTCTCTCACTTGCAAAGCGAGTGCTCTAACCACTGAGCTACAGGACACCACCAGGCACTCACCAGATTAATTCAATTTTCCATCACTTGATCTTCCAACCACTGTTGTTTCTACTGTCTTTGTGCAGCCAAAAGTATTATTCTGAGTTTAGTTTTTCAGGCCCATTTAAAAAGTTAAACACCTCAATAACGTCTCCTTTTTGCCTTTTCTTTTTAAAACTGCTGGGAATATATTCTTACTATTATTATTGTTATTACTATTATTATTATTATTACTATTATTAGGCGTGTGGAGTAAAGAAACTTGCCCAAGGTTTCGCCCTGCCTGGAATTGAACTCAGATCTCTCATTTGCAAAGCGAGTGCTGTAACCACTGAGCTACAGGACTCCACTGATAGTCTCCTCATTCACTGAGTAACACAATGTGCTATAATCAGATCTCAGATTAAATACTATAGACACCTCTTTACTGAAAGAATTATCTATGTATTAACATAGACACCTCTTTACTGAAATAATTGTCTATGTATTAACATAGTCCTGCTAACTGGACTTCCTAGCACCTCCTTACCCGAAGTGCAAACCATCCAAACCCTGAGGTTTGTATAACCTCTCTCACCTGGCTCTTTGAGCCTATGACCCCATCCTCGTTCAGCTGACACTGAATCAAATTCAATTTTTTTTTCTTGGTCAGTCGGGTGCCTGACACACGAAAAAACATCACCATACTTGACAGTATCCAAACCAAGCTGAGATTTCCATGTATCCCACCAATTCATGGAAACCCCAGATCCTCATCCTCACATTAAAATCCCCCCACAGCCACGGCCTTGCCTCACCCTAACTCTGCAACTTCCTTCGTCCCTGCCACCCCAGCCGCTCTATTTGTTCAGTGGACACTGACCTGCTTCACAACACCTGCCTGATCTGCCCCACTGTTGGTGAGTAAGCTTTTAGTCAAGCTATCCTGCTCTCTGGAGCTCCTTCCCAAAGTCTACCTGCTCGCCTCCTCCCTCTCCATTTTCAAAGCCCACATAAAGGCTTAAAATATAACATAAATTTATAATAATTCTTATATGGTGCCTTATCACAGCTTTGATAGCCTCGCTTCCTCCCTTGCCTCTTTCAAGGCCGACCTCAAGACCCTACTCTTCGATATTGCCTTTGGTCGCCCTCCCACTTCTCTGCCTTCTCTCACCCCACACCACCCCTTCCCCATGCTTGGGCCCTGATACCTGACTGTTCAGCGCTTTGGAACGTCCTCCAGACGTGAAAGACGCTCTATAAACGTAATGTTGTTGTTGTTGATTGAGGCGTATCAAAGCGCTTCATAGAATATACTGTAAAGTGAAGTTACAATAGGATGGCACAGGATGGCCACAGCACTGCATTTGAGTGTCAGTCTAAACTACATGATTTCAAAGTCCCAGCTCGGGGCTTGAACCCAGAACCACATGACTCAGTAGCTACAGTGGAAATAAGCAGTCGGTGCCAATAATGTACATAAGAGTAAATGTTCCTTTAATGAAATAACAAAGTCTGAAGCATCTCTGCCCTGGTGACTGTGGTCTTTTTTAAAATATAGAACATCAGAATAAAGAGTATTCTTTCTATGCCAGGCTGATACCTAATATATATGGGATTATTCAGTACTAATGTTGGGTAATAATAGTTGTCCCAAAATTGAACAACTGAGTACTTACTCAGTATTGTACTCAGTTGTTAAATGCTCCTAAATTCAGTGTAAAATTTAGAATTTAAAAAAACATTCTATTATCAGTTTTCTACTTTCTTCTGTTATCTCAAGCTTGTATTTCATTTACAGCAGGTCATGTGGAGCCACATCCATCCAAATTAGCCATTTAAACAGTATGAGAGCAGCCAACTATTTGTTCAAACCACAGTACAGATCCACCTGAAGGTACCCAGAGATTCACAGTGATCGGAGAGGAAGTCTTTGTTGAGTCTTTGCTTCCTTAATTCTGTTCTCTTTGGGCTTCAAATTGGAGTAATAGGAGCAAATCAGAGATTGAAAGACTTCTGCAAACACACCATCTGCCTTGTGCCTGAGCTGATCATTGCCTATGGGGTTAAATAAGATATTAAAGTAGCTATGACACAAAGGAATTGAAAATCTCTATCTTACCTTATAGTCCTAAATTCTCGTTTGAAGTGTAATTTGAGGAATAAATTTATGTAAACAAATCTATGTAAGCCAAAGTACCAAATTCCATTTTTTTCTGTTTTGAGCTTTGCACTTAAATGGAAAAAGGATAATTTCATTATTTAATTAAGGATCATTTCCTTATTTATGTACAAAATTATGTAAATAATACAATAGTTTTTGCATTTCTTGTAACACATTTCACAGGAGCTTCTGAAAAGTGCAATGACTATGTATTTGTGGGTGAACATGGCAGCCATTTGCACCCAGCAAGATCTCACAACAACAACAACAAAAACAGCGAAGAGAGTGACCAATTTTACTTGAGGGATGGATGACCAGTGTAAGATTATATTTGTGATACTTACTGTTTTTAAGGTTATAATTACTTTTAGAATGTAACCAAACACTTATAAACTTCTCAGTATAGCATGCCTTAGTTACTAGGGCCTGGAGAAGATTAGGTGTTTTAAATGACTAATTTAGGGCCCTTGAGAGGGTACATATGCCAATTAGGGTTAGCAAAGGTAAAGGCTGAGGTTAGGTTCTGATAACTTCCCCTCATCCGGTATCTGGGTAGATGTCATCCTCCCATCCAAAAATTGAATAATCATGTCCTTGAGCACAGATGTGAAAACAAGGGGGCTCAGAGTGAGAAGCTCACTCGTGGACATCTGCTTATCTCAAGACGAGGAAATAGGGAGATAGCAGAATCCTCCCAATTAGCTGTCAATATTTCTTTCTCCTTATCAGTTATTTTCCCATGTGAAAAGAGCCTGCTCAAGATCGCTAGCAGCCAACAAAGGGTGGGGGTTATCTCTGTGACAACAGTAGATGGAGTTAGATATACATAAAAGATGTAACTTTGGAATAGTTGGAATTATCGTTGGAGGAACAGTTGGGAGGCAGCTACTGGTCAGCAACTTCCCCAATGGAATCAGGTAATATTGGTTTCATTGAATCTTACTGGATTTATGTAAATTAAAGATATAATAATTGTACGTGTTAAAGCATTAATCTTTGAACCGTATGATATTAAATGATCTGTAATTCATACCACCTGTATTGGGTAAAGTCTCTTTCTGGCAAACCTTACACCAGGACACTGGGAGAAACACCTTTCTCATTTCAAATGGTGCCGTGGGTATTTAATATCATCTGAATAGGCAGATTCAACCTCAATTTACAATCTACCTGAAGGACTTATCCAGCAATGCACTAGTGTTACCCTGGATTTGTGTGTCATCCACATGTATGCGGATGACAACCTACTTTGGTACTCCAGTACCAACTCCAGGTCCGCCGATATTCTATCAGCTTGTCTGGCAGACATCAGGGCCTGGATGAATGTAAACTTCCTCAGCTGAATGTGGACAAGACGGAAGGCATACTCCATGGCTCCCGTCAATGTTTTCACTCCTGCGGATCTAAATTCCTCTCCCTCAGATTCACCGAATCTAGACGTCTGGTTCGATCCCCAGCTGTCCTTTTTCCCCCACATCCAGTCCCCACATTGTACGAGAAAAGATTATTGGGCAGCATAAAAGGGAACCCTGTGGTATTTTATAAGCATCTAAAGAATAAAAGGTTAGTTAAAGGTAGGGTGGGTCCAATTAGGGACCAAAGAGGAAATCTTCTTGTGGAGGCATGGCTGACATACTGAATGAGTACTTTGCATCTGTCTTCACAAAAGAAGAGGGTGTAGCCAATGCCACAGTATCGGAGAGCGTAGAGAAATTGGATCAGATAAGAATAAATCAAGAGGTACTAAAAAGGTTGTCGGTGCTCAAGATAGATAATTCACCCAGTCCGGACAGGATGCATCCTAGGTTACTGAGGGAAGTAAGGGTGGAAATAACAGAGGCTCTGGCCACAATCCTTCAATCGTCCTTGGACACTGGGGTGGTGCCAGATGACTGGAGAGATACAAACGTTACTCCCCTGTACAAAAAGAGGCAGAAGAATAAACCCAGGAACTATAGGCCAGTCATCCTAACATCCAGAGACTATAATCCAGGTCAAAATACATTTTCACTTAGAAAAATATGGGTTAATAAAGGACAGCCAATGGATTTGTTAAAGGCAAATTGTGTCTAACAAACTGCCTTTCCAGGCATGGTGAAACCTTGGGCAAGTTTCCTTACTCCACACACCTAATAATAATCCCTCCAAAACAAAAAAAATAATAAATTACACCTGATCATATTGTTGAGTTGTAACTTTTTCCCCGTTCGTCCCAACCGTTGTCTTACAAACAGACCATACACCGTGGATATATCCAATGTTGAGATTTAATGCTGAGATTTAATTGCAATTAAAAGAGCTGATTCAAGAACAGTCAACAGTCTCCCAAGTAGAGCACCTGACAGTCCAAAAGAATGAGCTGCTTTTGGTCAGTTAAAGCAGCCTTTTTATCCCCAAAAGTGCTCAAGGTCATAAAGCATACAAAGGCAATTAAAAAAACATTATCAATCATGTGGTTCCAACAACTATTCGAATGGTGACGTCAATCAATCTATATCTCTAAACAAGGTTAAATGTCATCTACTTAATTAGTATCTATTCGTGTTGATTATTATTCTTTAAAAGGTCAATCAAATATAATTGGCATAGAATATGTACCTGATTGATACCGTTGTTTAAAGTATACAAGATACAATCTAAAGCTGTCTCACAAGAATACAACCTTTAAATTTATAACACAGAGTAAGAAATAATGAGGGAAGGGAGTTCAGGTTAGGGGAGGATTCAAGGACGTTAGAGGCATAAACTTATCTCCAGATGGTGTTTGTGTCAGACAATGTCTTATTCATTTCAGAGTTACAGAAGTTACTGCTCTCTGCTTCCATGGAATGTCCAGCCAGATAAAGATGTAGCTGGCATTGCCAAGTCTGAGTTTTCCCAGGACTTGTTTTTTTAATGTTTCAGCTAATGTTTGATTTAAAAAGGCATACAATTATTTCTAGGTATAAAAGATTTTTCTACAATTTCACTACAATTTCCCAATATAAACCTGATAGGGTTTTTTGATGAATTAACGGAGAGGGTGGATGAAGGTGGTGCAGTTGATATAGTTTATATGGATTTTCAAAAGATGTTTGATAAAGTGCCACATAAGAGACTTGTAAGCAAAATAGAAGCCCACAGTATTAAAGACAGTGGCAGCATGGATACAGAACTGGCTGGGAGACAGAAAGCAGTGAGTGGTGGTGAACGGTTGTTTTTCTGACTGGAGGGAAGTGTGCATTGGTGTCCCCCAGGGGTCGGAATTGGGACCAATGCTGTTTTTTGATCCATATAAGTGACCTGGACTTGGGTATAGGGAGTACAATTTCCAGGGTTGCAGATGATACTAAGCTAGGAAAAGTAGTAAACGGTGAGGAGGACAGTAGCAGACTGCAAGAGAACATTTTAAGAGGACATAGACAGCCTGGTAAAATTTCATTACAATTTCACTACAATTTCACATTCCCTCCTTTTATCATATCCCATATGATAACACCAAATGGTTGCTTATACCTCCTGCGTATCATTTTCATCCTTCCAATATTTCCTGTCCCTGTTTACTTGTCGTTCCACTAACTCTCTTTTTATTACCTCCTTAGTACAAGTCATTGCACAACCATATACTAATTTGACTACTAATAGCATTGCCAAAATCCATAATACCCACTCTAGTATTGCAGTTCCCCATCCATTCCGTATAGTGCCAATCCAACAGAATGGTGACCAGCCGCAACTACCCTTATGTTTATCAACTACCCTTATGTTTATCAATGTCCCCTGCCTCATCACCTGCTTCCTTGATTTTTTCACTTTCTTCAGTTATATTTGATGAATAATCATTTATCCAGGAGCAACATTCTGGACCAATTATAGCGCATGCTCCTCCCTGAGTGGCCAAAATTATGTCTAACGCCATCCTGTTCTGCATTGTCATTTTTCTGATGGCTTGTTGTTCTTTGTTTAAAAGATCAATACTCAATGATGTAGCTCTTGACATTTCTTGAAGGTTGCCTGCAAGGGCTCTTATTTCTGCTAGTGACACCTCTGTTCCATATAGTGGAACAAAGGTGGATAACAGTTCTGTATACCATTGGTTGTCGTACCATCGCATACTCCTCTTATGCCGATGTAGTCCTGTTTTGTTTAACCTTTTCATCCGTGTTACTCGAGCATCCTCTTCAGGGGTATCGCTGGGGTACCTGAAAGAAGGCACTACATAAGCTAGACCACATCTTCCGAGCCACCCATTAGGCAACCATTTATAGGCAGTATCTCCACATATCCAATGAAGTTCATCTGAAGTTTGAATAGAACAGGAATGTGACATTAATATCACCTTGGCCAGTGCTGGTGTAATACTCTGAAGGCACTGTGATACTGGTCTAACTATTCCCTTGGCATTAGACACTAAAGGGTTCGCATCAGGCATTATAGAGTCCCCCTGGACTATCACGCTACATTTAGAGGAAGGCAGTTGTCCTAATTCCTTTCCAGTTATTAGCATATAATTGTTGTTATTGGGAGCAAAACCCTTTCTGTCCCAGTTTTCCAGACACCATTCAAAAACTGGTACTATGTTAACCTCCATGCTTGGAGGCATATCATCACATCTAATGCAGGCTTCGGAGAGGTTTGTTTTATCTTCTTCTCCTTGAAAACAGGTGATGGGTGTATAATGACTAGCTTTCATATGAATACTACAATTATTTATTTCGTTGGCTGTCAGGTAACATAAATCACAGTCAGTAGTGGCAATAGCCATCATTGTTATACCGGAACCTACAGAGCGAGGCTGTGGCGTGCACACCACCCTTCTCGTACTGTTGTTGGCATATCGCCTTACTAAGCCCAAATACTGAAGGAACGAATTCTCCTTCTCTGAGTGTTTTTGATAATTAACCCTTAAGTGTTTAGTCATGACCAGGTTATTATTGGTTTTGGCATTCCCATCTAAAAGGTCCCTTTTAACTCTAATTCCTGTATCCTTTTTGTATGTCAAATCTCCCAGTCTGGTATATTGCATGTTACAGCAGCCCATTTGTAATGTAATACCAGTTCCTGTAGTAAACCTGCAGGAAGTTTCATTTCTGTGGCTACAGTTAGTGTTACCATTCTGGCTTTCCAAATAAACCAATTCTTCTTCATTTCCCTTACGTATCGACACTATCGCTAACACTTGTTGGAAAGCGTCCCCTGGTTCTAATGCTAAAGTTTGGTTAGTCAGGTTAGTAAACGTCATGTACATGTCCTTTCCATGTGTTATATTTACACAACATAATATCATTATGTATACGTAAGTCTTTTGCAGTGGTTTAAATGAACCCATTTCTCTCATCCTTGTAGCTTGGCAGCAGTCGGTGTTGTTAGCAGCACTTGAAATGGTCCGTTCCACCGGGGTTCCAACTTTTTGTGGGTCCAGTTGCAAATCCAGCTTGTATCCTAGGACCAACGTCCTTCGAATCTTCCGTCTGTCCACCTCCCTCCTTGTGTAGGTTCTGGACCTGTGAATGATACTGCTGCAAGCTTTTTGTTAGAGCAATCACATAATCATGTACTTCGCTCGTCATCTCATAAATGTTAGAAGGATTATGTTTCCGGGAAAAAGCCCAGGGAGTTTGCAATGCTTTTCCGTATAATATTTCAGCCGGAGACAGCTTGGTTTGCCATTGTGGTGTGACTCTCATTTGGAATAGAGCCATAGGTAGAATTTTAAACCAGCTCAGTCCCGTTTCTTCAGACAGTTTGAGTTTCAATGTTTGATTAGCCCTCTCCACCAATCCTGCAGATTGAGGATGGTATGGACAGTGAAACTGCTGTTTGATGTTTAATTGGTCACAAAGTTCTTTGTTTATCCGGGCTGTAAAGTGTGGTCCGTTGTCTGAACTTATACAACTGGGAATTCCAAATTGTGGTATTATTTTTCTTAATAACATTTTTACAACTGTTCCTGCAGTGTTGCAGGTAGTTGGATAAGCTTCTATCCACTTACTGAATACATCTACAATTACTAGACAATATTTGTAACACTGAGTTTTTGGCAATTCAATGAAATCTAGTTGAATTGTATCAAATGGCCCTGCTGGAAGAGGCGTACGGCCTAGGGGGATGGTGTTCGTATTCCAATGTTAAATTTTTGGCAAATTAAACATCTTTGTATTACTTTTTGGGCGCTTTAGTCAAATAAGGGGCTCCACCATGATTGCAGTAATAACCCCACCATTCCCTCCTTGCCAGCATGCGTTTGTTGATGAACAATATCAACTAACCATGGTAGTAAGCTAAGTGGAACACAACACTGTCCGGCCGGAGTTAACCACAATTTTAAATTGTCATTGTCATCCATTGTTTTCCCATTCTGTTATTTCATCTGTAGAGGCCTCTTTTTGTAATGAGATAACGTCATCTAAAGTTGGCATCTTTTTTACCTCAGAATCTGACTGTATCCTTGTGGATCTTTGAGCCATATTCGTCATTTTAGGAACAATTAATTTTTGCTCTCCAGATGCCAATTTAGCTGCTGCATCAGCTCGTCTATTCCCATTGTCAACTGCTGAAGTCCCTGTTGTATGTGCTGCACTTTTAATGATAGCTAGCCTATTAGGTAGAAGTATGGCTTTCAGTAAATTAATTAATTAATAAAGTCTTATTCTGTATGTCTTGGCCTGAACTGGTTAGGAAACCTCGCTGTTTCCATAATGTTCCGAAATCATGGGCTACCCCAAAAGCATATCGGGAATCTGTATACATGTTAACGTATTTTCCCTCTGCCAGTATGCATGCTCTGGTAAGAGCAAACACCTCTGCTTGTTGTGCAGATGTTGGCTCTTCAAATGCTGCTGCTTCTATCTCCATTTCCCCTGTCACAATAGCATAGCCAGATTTTCGTTTCCCAAACTCATCAATAGAGGAACTCCCATCAACATATAATATTAAATCGACTTTGTCCAGGGGTATATCAGTTAAATCATCCCGTGGAGGCGTAGTGTGCTGTATTACTTGAATGCAATCGTGATTTGGGTCATCTAAATCAGCTGGCTGATGAGAGAGGAACGTTGCGGGGTTAATGTTTGTGCAGCAAACAAAGGATAGCTGAGGATTGCTTAGTAGGGCTGCCTCATATCTACTCTGTCGTGCTATAGTTAAATATTGTGTCTGCATTTGGCATAGTAATGCTGTAACCGAATGTGTTGTATGTACCACTATGTTTGAGTTTAGTGTAATGTTCGACGCAGCCTGTAAGCAAGTGTATACAGCTGCCAATTCATGTTGTTGGTTTTAACCATTTCAGCTACTTTTGCTGGAACTGATTGTAAAACCAAAGCATTATATTGTGGCGATGGTCGCCCTGCCAAATAAGTTGTGTCGCCGGAGAATTTTTCATAAATCTGGTTGTACTTTATCATGAATTCGTCAGCTTCGTGTCCATTTTTAGCTTTACAATCTAGTATTTTGGATATTAACGGGGCTTGCCAAGACTCGCTTTACTGCTGCCAGTGGAGTTTCCTTTTGATCTTCTGGGTCGGCATATCTGTTAGCAAAAGCTTCCCAATTATCAACTTCCACTGCTGCTTTAAACGCTGCCCATTGTGTTCTATTGAGCGCGATCTGTATTAGTGACCAAAGATCCTCTCCTGTTGCCCCATACACCTGTGTAGTAAGCAGCAGGTAATGTCTCAGTGCTCCAGCATCTCCTGATGTATCGGGGGCTTGTTGGAGAATGCCGTGTAATTCCGACGGCTTCCACGGGCTCCAGACTCGTATTGGTTGATTGTCTGCGGGGTTTGGGAACATCCTATTTGGGCAGTGTCTGGGTGGGGCCTTCTGTCTGCGCAGTAGTGTATTCTACTGTTTGTGGATACAGAGGCAAAGAGGGAGGTGTATCGTGTGACCGGGTTCGGTTCGAAACTGGGTCTGCGAATGGACCTGCATCCCGAGGAGGAGCAGTGGGCACGACAGGTACTGACGGCCCCGCCGAGCAGCTGGAATTGACGGTTCTACAATTTGTAAAGCTGGTGGTTGATGATCAGTCAACCAACACATTATATCGTCTTCTATTTCCGAATCTGAATCGTCAGCAACTTTAGTCTGTGCTTTTTGTACAGCTCTCCGCTTTTTGCTTGCTTATTTCTTTGCTTCCTTTTTCATCTTTAATCCTACACTCTTCCATCAATTCTTCTACTTCCTTATTATTTCCTTCACTATTTAGGATACTAATGCCCCTCTTCTTGCCAACTGGCTACCACTGACTTGTTCTTTCTTTTTTCACCTTCTTCTATCCATTTTTTAATGGCTAACTTAATTTTTAACCCTTTTCCGCAGCCTCGTTTTTTCCATATTGCATTTTGTATTTTTATTAGTTTTTCCAAATCCCAAGTACCTCCTTGAGGCCAACCTTCCAATTGCTTGCTCGCCTGCCCAGATAGTAATCTGAATTTGGTCTCGTATTCAGCATATAATGTGCACATAATTTGGACCGGATCCTTTGGGCTACTTGCTTTGTCAAGTACTGTACCCATTTTTTTTCTTTACGAATTACACTAAAACACAACTTATAACACCCGACACAACAAATAACGAAACAAAAACGAATTTCACTAAAACACAACTTATAACACTCGATACCACAAGTAACAAAACTACAAATACCACTACGAATTCGTAATGGATTAGTTTGTCTAGCGATTACCAAATTCTCCCCGGTTTTCGAGCTACTAGTCGTTCAAAACTACCATATATCACGAACGTGTAACGGATTAGTTTGTCTACCGATGAACTCGTATTCCACGTCGTGCTTCACTGCACGTCGGGGATCCTGTGCCCAAAACAACAACCAGCTAAGACGAATGCGTCAATTGTTTAGTGATTGGTTTGAGTTACAGTTTTTAGAAAAACAAATTTATAATTTTTTTAACGTTTCCCCAAATATATTTTTCACTTCCAACGGATGTATGTTAACGGTTCTTTTACTGGGGACTCGTCAACAGTTATTTAGGTTCGATAGTCGTGGGTTACATTTGTTAAAAACAACATGTGAGAAACCAAGGTTTTACAGATAATTATCTCACCTTGTTGGCCTGTTTCTCGGATGCTGTTCTCGACAACTGCTTGACCTCTTATTCGACTCCTCGTTCCTTGATGTAACGTCTTGAGCCCCTGCTCGCAGCGCCAAATGTTGAGTTGTAACTTTTTCCCCGTTCGTCCCAACCGTTGTCTTACAAACAGACCATACACCGTGGATATATCCAATGTTGAGATTTAATGCTGAGATTTAATTGCAATTAAAAGAGCTGATTCAAGAACAGTCAACAGTCTCCCAAGTAGAGCACCTGACAGTCCAAAAGAATGAGCTGCTTTTGGTCAGTTAAAGCAGCCTTTTTATCCCCAAAAGTGCTCAAGGTCATAAAGCATACAAAGGCAATTAAAAAAACATTATCAATCATGTGGTTCCAACAACTATTCGAATGGTGACGTCAATCAATCTATATCTCTAAACAAGGTTAAATGTCATCTACTTAATTAGTATCTATTCGTGTTGATTATTATTCTTTAAAAAGTCAATCAAATATAATTGGCATAGAATATGTACCTGATTGATACCGTTGTTTAAAGTATACAAGATACAATCTAAAGCTGTCTCACAAGAATACAACCTTTAAATTTATAACACAGAGTAAGAAATAATGAGGGAAGGGAGTTCAGGTTAGGGGAGGATTCAAGGACGTTAGAGGCATAAACTTATCTCCAGATGGTGTTTGTGTCAGACAATGTCTTATTCATTTCAGAGTTACAGAAGTTACTGCTCTCTGCTTCCATGGAATGTCCAGCCAGATAAAGATGTAGCTGGCATTGCCAAGTCTGAGTTTTCCCAGGACTTGTTTTTTTAATGTTTCAGCTAATGTTTGATTTAAAAAGGCATACAATTATTTCTAGGTATAAAAGATTTTTCTACAATTTCACTACAATTTCCCAATATAAACCTGATAGGGTTTTTTGATGAATTAACGGAGAGGGTGGATGAAGGTGGTGCAGTTGATATAGTTTATATGGATTTTCAAAAGATGTTTGATAAAGTGCCACATAAGAGACTTGTAAGCAAAATAGAAGCCCACAGTATTAAAGACAGTGGCAGCATGGATACAGAACTGGCTGGGAGACAGAAAGCAGTGAGTGGTGGTGAACGGTTGTTTTTCTGACTGGAGGGAAGTGTGCATTGGTGTCCCCCAGGGGTCGGAATTGGGACCAATGCTGTTTTTTGATCCATATAAGTGACCTGGACTTGGGTATAGGGAGTACAATTTCCAGGGTTGCAGATGATACTAAGCTAGGAAAAGTAGTAAACGGTGAGGAGGACAGTAGCAGACTGCAAGAGAACATTTTAAGAGGACATAGACAGCCTGGTAAAATGGGCAGACGCATGGCAGATGAAGTTTAATGTGGAGAAATGCAAAGTGATGCAATTTGGGAGGAAGAACGAGGAGAGGCAATATAAGCTGATGGTACAATCTTAAAGGGGGTGAAGGAACAGAGAGACCTGGGGTTTCATATAAGCAAATCTTTGAAGGTGACAGGTCAGGAAGATAAAGCTGTTAAAAAAGCATACATGATACTTGGCTTTATAAATAGGGGCACAGAATACAAAAGTTATGCTGAACCTTTATAAAACACTGGTTAGGCCTCAGCTAGAGACTGTGTTCAGTTCTGGGCACAATACTTTAGGAAGGATGTCAAGGCATTAGAAAGGGTGCAAAGGAGATTTACCAGGATGGTATCAGGAATGAGGGACTTCAGTTATCAAGAGAGGCGAGAGAAGCTGGGATTATTCTCCTTGGAGCAGAGAAGGTTAAGAGGAGACTTAATAGAAGTTTTCAAAATTATGAGGGGATTCGATAGGGTGAACAAGGGGAAACTATTTCCACTGGCGGGTGGGTCGGTAACCTGAGGACACCGATTTAAAATAGTTGTTAAAAGAAACAGAGGGGAAGTTGAGGAGAAATGTTGTTATTCGGATCTGGAATGCATTGCCTGAAAGAGTGGTGGAAGCCGATTCAAAAACGGCTTTTAAGAGAGAAGTTTGCAAGGCTATGGGGAGAGCGTAATTGATTTGGAAGCTCTTTTCAAAAATCCGGCACAGACACAACGGGCTGAATGGCCTCTTTCTGTGCTGTATAATTCTACGATGCTATGATTCAATGAACTTGATGTTTGGCAACCGAATGTCAAAATTGAGCCAGCCCTCTGTGGCTGTCTCTAGTCCTGAGCCAGGCAGGTCCTCGAGAGCACTTCCGATGACAGAACAGCCAGCCTGGCTCATCAACAGGACTTGGAATGGCAGACAGTTACTAGGGCACTCAGCTCCCACTCAGCTCATGTTAATCCTGCAAGGCAAAGCTCTAACGGGTAGAGTAGTCCTAGCTGGAGAAGCAGCGGGAAAACTTGCCAGACAGCAAAATCAATGACAAGCTATGCGATTTTAGCTGGCTAGACTCTAGCAACTACCCCCAACACACAATCTGGGGTCCCCAAGCTTTGCCTTTTACAAACCTTTCCAGAATTAGATAAACAGGATGCATCCCTCCAGGAGGATTCCATTTCAATAATCTATCTCCAGAATTTCCACATGTAGGGTATGCATAGAATTCTCAGTTTGGTTTGGATAAACACGTTGATCTGATTCCACCAATGTCAGACACCGGTTGACTAAAAATAATATATGGACAGGGACATATAGTTGGACCTGCTTACAAACACATACCAGAATACACCAAATAATACAATTTTACCAGTGTAATAGTCAGTATATGATTTTCTGCTCCAGACTAGGTGTAAGTTTTACTGAACTAAATTACAATTTAATGTCTTTATTTGCAGAAAGCTGAGCGTGGCTTTTTCCATCTGTTTCTGTAACTCTGAGAGTTTTTGTTGAACAGAATCTAATTTGCTCTGAATCTCTAGCAGATTTGTGTCCATTCGGTATAAAATCTCTACCTGGAGGGACACATCCTGCTTACCTAATTCCGGAAAGCATTAATTGCAGGTTGGCAAGAGCTTGAGAATATATTTTTATATATTTATACAAAATAAAATACTTGCTCTCCTTTAAGATTATCTTATTAATTATTATGTATTATTGTGTTATTTTTTGAGGGCAAATTTCCTACAGTTGAATGTGAACAAGACTTACAGCTTTCATCTTCCATGTGATATCCTCAGTCTTAGTGTTTCTAGCTCTCGGTCTTCCATCTCCCATACCCTTGTCTCTGCAACCCGGGATGGCCCCATTCACAAAGTTAACGGAGCTCTTATACCGATGTTCATCCAATCATGGTGCGGACATTAGATCACCTGGCCGAAATCATGCTGGGTTCACGTGAACATCTCATGAGGTGTACGTGCCTCACACACACAAACACACTGTCCTTGAGACAGTCCGTTATCTTGTGTATGTGCAGGGCAGTAGTACACATCTTGTCCTTGAGACACTCACGTGATCTTCGGTGTAAACTCATGAGTTTCAGTCCAGTTGCCCCCCCACACTTAACTTAAAAGGTAACCCGTTCGCAACATCTATTATGATTCTAACATTATACAAAAAGTGTAAATTCTAACACCTCTGCGACCTCCTAACCCCCTACCAACCTGCCTGTTCCTTCCGCTCAGCCGGCTCTGGCCTGCTCCACGTCCTCTGACCCACCCGCCCCACCATTGGCGGGAGAACCTTCAGCCACTCTGCCCCCAATCTCTGGAATTCCATCCCCCAGTCACTCCGCATGGCCCCCTCCTTCAAGTCCCGCCTCAAGACCCTCCTCTTCGACCATGCCATAGGTCACCCCCCTTCCCCTCCCCTCCCTTCTCCCCCCCTGACCCCAGCTCGGTCTGAAATGCTGACACTGTTCAGCGCCTTAGGACGTCCTCACAACGTGAAAGGCGCTACACAAAAGTAATCTTGTTGTATTGTGTGTAAACACATTACAGTGTGTAAATATAATATACACATAACCATCAGCCTCTCTATTATTATCAGATGTGTGTGTGTAAATAACCATCAGCCTCACTATTATTATGTATGTGTGTGTAAATATAATATACACATGCTCCTCTCTTACCGACTCTCCTCTCACTCTGACCACACTGACCCTCCACATTTCCCGCTTTTATATAAGCAAAACCCAAAATACTGTAGATGCTGGAAATCTGAAAACAAAAGCAGAAGTCGCTGGAACACTCAGCAGGTCAGGCGGCATCTATAGAGAAAGGATAGTGAGTCAACGTTTCAGGTACACGACCCTTCGTCAGAACTGGGGCATGTTGGGAGGCAGAGGCTTTTAAGGGCTAACAGAGAGGGGGGAGGCAGAGCAAGGAAAACAAAGGAGAAAATGGGGTAGAGGGCAGGGGTTGATGGGTTAAAGGTGTTAATGATACAGAACAAAGGGGGGGATTTCAACAAAGCAGAGGAATAGAGGTGTTAATACTGCAAAACAAAGGATGGGGGAAAAAATTGGAACAAAACAGGCAGGCCAGAAAGAGAAAAGGTGTGTCTGGGACCAAGATAATATGGTAATGGTCACAGAAGAGGGGAAGGGGGAATGTGAGCTGTTATGGTTTGAAATTGTTGAAATCAATATTGAGACCAGAGGGCTGTAAGCAGATAAATTAGGTGCTGTTCCTCGAGGTTGCGCTGTGGCTCATTGGAACAGTGTAGAAGAGTGTGGATGGAGAGGTCAGAGTGCAAGTGGGAGGGAGAGTTGAAATGGCAAGAGATCGGAAGCTCAGGGTTGCGCTTGTGGACAGAATGGAGGTGTTCAGTAAATCGGTCACCCAATCTGGGTTTCGTCTCCCCATTGTAGAGGAGACGACATCGTGAGCAGCGAATGCAGTAAACTACATTGGTAATACATGTAAATTGCTGTCTCATTTGAAATCTGTGTTTGGGGCCCTGTTCAGTGGTGTGGGAGGAGGTGAAAGGGCAGGTATTGCAACTACTGAGCTGGCATGGGAAGGTGCCGGAGGGAGGAGAAGAACTGTTGGTGGTGATGGAGGAATGAACCAGGGAGTCACGGAGGGAACGGTCCCTTCGGAATGCTGAGAGGGGAGAGGAGGGAAAGATATGTTTAGTGGTTGGGTCATGCTGGAGATCCGGAAAAGGCGGAAAATAATTTTTTGGATGTTGAGGCTGGTGGGGTGGAAGGTGAGGACTAGGGGGACCCTATCACGGTTCTTGGAAGAGGGGAAGGGGTGAGGGCAGAGTTGCGGGAAATAGGGCAGACACGCGGGAAATAGGGCAGACACAGTCAAGGACCAACAACCGTGCTCCTGTCCCTGCACATAGTCACCCCCAGCTCCTGTCACTTCAACAGTGATCCTTGGCTCATGTCACTCCCATGGTGACCCCAGACTCCTGTCACTTCACATGGTGACCTCTAGCTCATGTCACTACACACACTGACCCCCAGCTCCTATCATTACACACAGTGACCCCCGGCTCCTGTCACTACACAGAGTAACCCTTGTCTCCAGTTACTACACAGTGACCCTCGGTTCCTGTCATTGCACAAAGTGACCGCCGGCTCCTGTCACTACACTCAGTGACCCTCAGCTCATATAACTAAACAGTGACCCCCGGCTCCTGTCACTCCTGACACGCAGCTCCTATCTCTCCACTTCATTAATTGCAGCACCTGTCATTGCACATAGTGACTACCGGCTCCTGTCACTACACGTCATTGCAATAGTGAGCTGCAGCTCCTCTCACTACACAGTGACCGCCGGCTCCTGTCACTACACAGTGAGACACGGCTCCTGTCACTACATACGGTGACCCCCGGCTCCAGTCACTATACATAGTGACCCAAGGCTCCATTCGCTGCACACAGTGACCTGCAGCTACTGTTATTGCACATAGTGAGCTGCAGCTCCTCTCATAACATAGTGACCCCTGGCTCCTGTCACTACACATTGTGACACCCGGCTCCGGACGCTGCACACAGTGAGCCCCCGGCTTCTGTCATTACACACAGTGACGCCGCGGATGCTCTCACTAAACACACTGACCCCAGGATCCTATCAATACACACGGTGGTCTCCGGCACCTATCACTACACACAGTGACCCCCCCGGCTCCTGTCACTACACACACTGACCCCCGACTCCTGTCACTAGACACAGGAATCCTCGGATCCTGTCAAAACACACAATGACCGCTGGCTCCTGTCACTGCACATAGTAACCCCCGGCTCCTGCCATTGCATGTAGTAACCCCCGGCTCCTGCCATTGCATATAGTGATTCCCGGCTCCTATCACTACACAGTGACCCCCGGCTCCTGTCAGTCCACATCATGACGTGCAGCTCCTGTCTCTCCACATCGTGAACCGCGGCTCCTGTCATTGCACATAGTGACCACCGGCTCCTGTCACTACACAGTGACCTGCGACTCATGTCACTGCAAATAGTGACCCATTGGCTCCTGTCACTGTGCAGTGACGCACAGCTCCTGTCACTTTACACAGTGACCCGCAGCTACTGTCACTACACTACTGTCACTGCAGCTCCTCTCACTACACACTGACCCTCGGCTCCTGTCACTTAACATGGTGACCCCCGGATGCTGTCATTACCCACACTGACCCCCGGCTCCTGTCATCACACACAGTGACCCCTTGGATCCTGTCACAACAAAACAGTGACTCCTGGCTCCTGTCAATACACACACTGACCCGCGGCTCCTGTCACTGCACATAGTTAACCGCGGCTCCTGTCACTGCATATTGTGACCCGTGGCCCGTCAATACACTCAGTGATCTCCGGCTTCTGTCACTACACACACTGACCCCTGGCACCTGTCACTATAAAGTGAACCCCGGCTCCTGACACTACAAACACTGACCCTCAGCTCTTATCACTACATAGTGACCCAAGGCTGGTAAAGAGGAAGAGAAGGAAGAGAGTGATTGAGAGAGAAGAAAGTGCATGTGAGTTAGAGAGGATGAGTGAGAGAGTCTGAGGGAGAGTATGTGAGTGCGATTGCCATAAAGTGGGGAACGTGTGTGATAGAGACAGAAGGGGAGAGAAAGTAACAGAACGGGCGAGAGGGAGAAAGCAGAGTGTGAAATAGATGAGAGAGGGGGAGAGAGTGAGAGAATGATTGACAGTTTGAGAAGGGAGAGAGTGTATGCAAGAGTGCTTGTGAGAGAGAGAGGGGATAGGGTGAGTGATTGAAAGAAAGAAGGGAGAGTGATTGAGTGATAGAGAGGGAGAGCCTGAGGGAGGGGGAGAGAGAGAAACAAAGAGAGTAGGTTGGTAGACAGTTGAAGTGAGGGCATTGTTTTGTGGTTCACTGTCAGGACAAATGATCAGAACCTCCCTCAGCTACCAGCATTTGGGAGGACTGAGAACAGACACCAAATGACTAGTTGTGCAGTTTTCTCACAGAAAGTTCCTTCTTTCCCCAGTGAGAATCTACTCTACATCCACCACTGACCACCCCACCCCATCTCCACATCCTACCTCTGCGATCTGCTACTCGGTCATCCCTTTGCCCAGCAAACACTGGCTTGCTTCATGTCTCCCCACTCCATCTCCCCTTCCATCGGCATTTTACTCCCACTGCCTGGAGCTCTATTCCTGAAATCCTGACTTGTTCCCTCCCTCCCCTCTTTCAAGGCACATCAAGGCCTAACTCTTTGGCCGCGCCGTTGGTCATCTTTTCTCCACCCCAACTCCCTCAGCTCCCAACCCCCAGCTCAGGTATCCAGCTGGCAGTATTGAGAGCTTTGAGATATCCTTCCAATGTAAAAAGAGCACTGTGTAAATGTTGTTATGTTTCTGGAAGGGAAACACAATAATATTGCTTATGCGACCCGCGGACGTTTCTCAAATAGTGCAACCTTGGCAACCAAGAGGTTGGAGCCCCAATATAAAGTAAAGATCCCTTTGCTCTTTACATTTCTGTCAATCTCTTGTTCTGCTGCATGGCCTATCTGAATATACTGTTTGGGATTATTGTCTCTGTCCTGTTATATACACCTCTATATGGTCACCTCAGATTAATCGTTATTTGGGGATGAAGGTCATCTATTCATTCCTCACATGAAAAAATGAGAGCATGGGAAATTAATGAAAAAGGCAAAGTATTCCACATTGATGGCTGTAAATATTAGTTATAGTTATTCTAACAGTTCGGTGAGCTTGTACATGGACAGTTCCTTACCCCAGGGTAACAATGTGATTAACACAGATTAATATCCCTCTCCCACACTCCTTGCCCCTCCCCTCTCCCCACATAGACCAATTTAGCAACTACAGTCCCAATTCTCACCAGTAACACTATCCAAATGATAGTGATATGTCCGTGCACACAACACGGCTCTGGTTATTCCAGCAATCAGAGACCCTCTGGCTGGAGCATCGTAAAACTGTCTGTATGAAGACCCTAAGCCTAGTTAGTCTGAATAAGACCCTCAACTCAACCCTCAATAACACAATTTAAAAATATGAACAAATTGAGACAACAATGAAGAATGTAAAATGATCTGCTTCACAGGCAACAGCCACACAACAACAAAATGACATTAATATACTGGTGATTAATTTATCTTTTGAACAGGAAAGTCACCATATTCTGCTGGTAATAAACCAGCACACACAGCCCATTCTGCTGGTAATAAACGGGGAGAGAAGGTGCCTTTTGACCTATAATGTGGAGTCCTGTAGCTCAGTGGTTAGAGCACTCGCTTTGCAAGCGAGACACCTGGGTTTGATTCCCGGCAGGGCGAAACCTTGGGCAAGTTTCCTTACTCCACACACCTGATAATAATCCCTCAAAAAAAACAATAATAAATTGGGCATTTCAATCCATGACTGTTTGTGGAACATTGCTGTGCGCAATTGGCTGCCGCATTTCACCCACAAATATACAGTCAATTCACTTTACAGTTTATTCTGTGAAGGGCTTTGAGACGTCCAGAAGACTTGAAAAGCACTATATCAAATGCAAGGATTACTATTATTATTATTATAATGAAGTGATGTGAGCTACAACAGTAGAGGCCATGACTGGTGTTAGCAGGGACACACTGGCTCTCATTTCTTATAGTGTAATTTTGTTATACTTTACAGCAGGCGATAGCTTCACATGTGCACAACCACCATGTATGTGTAAGGCATTTCAGGAGATGGTGGTACCCCAGCACATGGTCCAGAGAGGAGACAAACTGTCATACTGGTGTCTTAAATGTGAGTCACTGGTGTTGGATCAAACGGATACAATACAAAATTACATTTGTAGTTTCACGTCGGGAGGACGTCTTAAGGCACTGGACGGTCAGGGATTTGGACCCGACCTGGGGTAGGATAGGGGATGGTGGAGGGCAGGTAGAAGGGTTATCTGCACTGTACATGCCAAACTATTAGTGTTATTTTCTTCACGTCTCAAAGAAGCTTTTCACATGGGCTTTGACCATTACCGGCTGCTGGAAAGCTTTCCCACAGTACGGGATCTTTCAGAGCATTTGTGATCTTTCTTCTGCTAGAAACCAGCAAAACTCATTCAAGCCATTTATACAGTCCCTCCTGTATGGCCTCGCTGGTGGCCTTGGAGGTACTGTTTGCTATTGAAACTCTTTCCACAATCAATACAATTATACGGTCTCTCTCTTGTGTGTGATCTCTGGTGTCTCTGGAGGTTCCCTGACTGTGTGAATCTCTTTCCACAATCAATACATTTATACGGTCTCTCTGCACTGTGTGATCTCTGGTGTCTCTGGAGGTGCCCTGAAGTTGTGAAACTCTTTCCACAGTCAGCACATCGATATGGTCTCTCTCCTGTGTGTGATCGATGGTGTATTTGGAGGTGGCCTGACGTTGTGAAACTCTTTCTACATTCAGCACATTTATATGGTCTCTCTCCTGTGTGTGATCGCTGGTGTCTCTGGAGGTCCCCTGACTGTGTGAAACTCTTTCCACATTCAGTACATTCATACGGTTTCTCTCCAGTGTGTGAACGCTGGTGAACCTTGAGCTCCCCTGACGTTGTGAAATTCTTTCCACATTCAGTACACTCATACGGTCTCTCTCCTTTGTGTGATCGCTGGTGTCTCTGAAAGTTCCCAGAATGTGTGAAACTCTGTCCACATTCAGCACACTTATACAGTCTCTCTTCTGAGATCAATCGCTGGGGACCCTGCAGAGATCCCCTTTGCATAAACCCCTTTTCTCTAACAGTATATGTGATAGATCCCCGACACTCTCTCTCCTGTGAAGAAACATTTATACTATAAGCAAATTGTTCTGCTGATGTGTCTCGAAGGAGCTTGGGATGTCTTCTGCTGTGTTTCTGAAGGAACTCAGCATGAGTAAACACACTGCTACAATAAAGGTGAGAGTGAGACTCCGAATCTTCCACTTTGGGTGCTGATGGGAGAAAAGAAAGATTTGTATAAGCAACAGAGGGGTTTCTTTAGCAATTGCTGTTTGACCAATTTTGAATTAATCCTTGCATTTGTACAGCACTTGAACAAATCAAAACATTTCATGTTTTACAGAAATTAGTGTCAAGTGTTGTTTCAACGACATCAACTTGCATTTATGTAGCGCCTTTCACACATATCAGTTTTTGTCAGGAGCCATTTCCCACAAGCAACTATGAGGTGAGTGGGTGAGTGATTAGTTTAGATGATGACTGGCCATGACACTGGGAGAAACATGTTTCGGTGCTGGGAATGTGTTGCATTGTTGGAGGCACCATCCTTCAGATGAGATTTTAAACCGTGTTCCCCGCCCATGCCTGTTCAGGTGGTCATTAAAGATCCCATGACGCTATTCGAAAAGAGAAGCGAATTTTACACACACACCAATGTCTTAGCTGACAATACCCCAAATAAAATTGGTCATTTACCTCATGGCTGTTTGGGGGACATTGACAATTTGCAGTAAGATCCTGTGAAGGTTTGGGACATCCTGATGACGTGATAAGGTGCTATATTAGATTTCCATTACTCCCGTAGGATCTTTAACATCTGTCTGAAGAGGCACAAAGGGACTTTAGCTAAATAGCTCGGGGTCCATGGTAATGCAGCACTTGTCCAGTTTGGACCACCTTCCCTGTTGGAGCTTTGGCTTGCAGGGTTAACAGGAGTTGAGTGGGAAGAGTCTGATCATCCTTTTCCTCAATGAGTTCCTCTGTCTTGCTCTTTCTTCTTTGACCGACTTTCCTGTCACATTTCCCTCCCTACCCCTCTCTGCTATTACCCCAGCTCAGGTGCCAAGCCACAACAGTCAAGCCACCATGAGACATCCTCCCAACGAAAGGTGCTGTATCAATATAAATTTGCATTGTATTGTGAATGCTGTGAAGCACTTTGAGACATTTCAATGACGTCAAACTCATTTTTTGAATAAAACATAAATGACCACCTCCCTTCAAGCCCTGGGATGTGTCATGGGCATGAAGGGAGGTAACATCCACCTGAACAAGCACAAAGCAGCACTCCCTCCCCCCCAGCAAGCACTGCAGTGTCAGCCTAGACTGTCCGCGATGTGGAGGGGCTCGAACCCACAACCTTCTGACTCAGAGGCCAAAGGGCAACCAAATGAGCCAAGCTGACATCTGCCCGATTCTACACTGGAGCATTTTATAAGAAACTTTGATTGATTTTTCACATACACAGGTAATCATCGTCAGGGAGATCCTTTTCCTCAGTATAAGTTCTTCTCTCCCTCTTTCTCAATCCGTATCTGCTGCTCCCAACCTCTCCTCCACTCGCTTGGTTGTCTTTGAAGCTCAAACTATTTCCGGTTCGGCATCCTGTGGAGTAAATTTTAAAAAAAGCAGGATTGAGAATCATAACGTGTACACAGAGTCCTAACCCTCGGCCATTATTCCACAATTTAAGATGGTGCTAAATTTGTGGGCAATTCAGTTCAGTGTAAACTGAACTCACAGCCCAGACTGACATTCCAGTGCCAGCACTGAGGGAAAGCACCGCATTGTCCTTTAAATTAGACGTTAAATCTCACATTGTCTGTCTGATCAGCTGGGGGGAATTTCTCTTTCTGGTGATTTTTCTTTTGCCCCAAAACAAAATTAGTCATTCACTGTTGGTGGCACATTGCTGTGTACATATTGGCTGCTGCATTTGCCCACAAAATGTATAGTCACACCACTTTACAGTGTATCCTGTGAAGCACTTTGAGATGTGTCAGCAATGTGATAAGGTGCTGTGTCAAATGGAACAATGGAACTATTCTCTTCTATTATTAACTGTGGGAAACTCTATTTCATATCGTTCAGAATGGTTGACGGTAAGGGGGAGGGCAAAAGGTCTCACGAGAGTTACCAGACACGCAAGTTTATAAGGGATTCCTTCACTCAGAGAGCATCAATAAGAGCAACATTGAGGGATAGAATCGGAAAGTGGGATTAATGATAAAAATGTAAAACAGAGTCAATGATGGCAAAGACAATGGGACAAACTGCCTCCTGTGCTCAATCTTTCAGTGTAGCTTTTTGCAGGAAGAATACCTTTCTTAGGTGTTTTGAGATCTTCATCGTCAACAACTGAGACTCCTCTTTTGACCAGACTATTCTCTTCATTTGCTGAACCCTTGGCTTCAGTCACCTCTCTTGTGTGGTCACCTCCATCCTCAGCTGATCCTGCCGGGATGTGTGAGATTTCCTTTTTGCTCTAAAATACAGAATGTAAGAACATTATAAGCATGTGTCAGTCTGGCTCACTCTCACCTGTGTCAGAAGGTTGGGGTTCAAACTCCACATCAGGACGTGGAATCCAAATAGTCTAATGTGCCACCCTTCAGATGAGGTCCCATTTACTGTCCAGGTGTAACGCTCCTCCCGATGTGAAAGGCAAATCTACGAGGGTGATCCTTGGGTGACAGATTACTGCTATCAGGATAGACTGGGTAGCTTAGGCATTTCTTTGCTAGAGAAGAAACGTGCAAGAGGGGATGTAATGGAGGTGCTTTTATCAAACATTATAAAATGGTTTGATAAGCTGTTCCTACTTGTTGGGAAATCCATAACCAGGGTCACAAGTATAAGATAGTTATTATGGGATCTAAATGAAATGCATTTTAGAGGAAGCAAGGTAGGCACATGAGGAAGAAGGGAATGGAAGGGAGGAAGTAAGGAGTGGATGGAGAGCGGAGCATGTAGAGTACAATCACTAGGATGGACTTGCTGGGCCGATGGCCTGTTTCCATGCTTGAAATCAATCTAAAGTATATTTGATATTTAGCTAGTTACCTCCTTGCTTTTCTTCCTCACTGACTCCCTCTTCCTGGCTTCCATCCCAAACGTAGGCTGGAAGTATTTCACTTCTGAGAAGTAGACAAGAAACGGCTGCTTATATCAAGGGCACAAAACTTTGTTCCCCCATCACACCAGTCCTTGACAGGCTCCACTGTCTCCCAATTACCGAAAGGATCGATTTCAAGATCCTCTCACTCATTTTTAAATCCCTTCATGCCCTTGCACTTCCCTAACTGATTTGCTTACCCCCAACTCCCCCACTTGCAGCCTCTGCTCGAATGGCTCCGGCCTCCTTTTCATCCCTTATTCCCTTCACTGCACCATTGGCAGCCGTGCTTTTGGCCACTAGGCTCTGAAACTCTGGCACTTTCTCCCTCAATCCCTCTGCCTTGACCCCTCCCTCCCTCTCCACTTTCAAATCCCACCTAAACACCTTCCTTTTTGCTTGTGCTTACGGTCACCTCCTCTTCCCTCTCCCTCTGGCTCGGGGTCAGATTCCACCACTGTCAAGCACTCTGGGATGCTACCCTGCGTGAAGGGCACTATACAAATGTAAGTTGTTGATGTAGTGAATGTGAATATTGTGGTCGAAACACAGCACCCAATTGCGCACAGCAGTGTCCCACAAACAGTCATGGATTGAATGAGCAAATTGTTATTATTATATTTTTTAAAGGGTTATTATTCCACGAAATGCGATCCACCAATTGACTAATAACTGGGTTCCTACTTACTGCTAGATAAACAGAAATGTGTGGAGTAAGGAAACTTGCCCAATGTTTTGCTCTGCCCAGGAACTGAACCCAGGTCGTTTGTGAGGCAATGCTCTAATCACCATCTCTTCCTCACCCTCTCACACACACTCCCTCCCTCTCTCACAGTATCTCAATCATTTTCTCTTCCCCTTCTCTGTCAATCAGACTCTCTCGATCTCTTCATCTCACACTCTCTTTCACTCTCTCTGGCCCCTCTGAAACTTTTTCTCTCTCCCCCCCTCGTCAATTAATCTCTCTCCCTCTCTGTCAAACAATCTCTCTCAATCGCCCTCTCCCCCCCCCACCTCTCCTTCTATCTGCTGCTCTCTCCCAATCAGCTGTACGGTTCACTATCTACAGCGGCAGTAGCTGGTGGTTGCTACGGACGCAGTTGGTAATAGCACGCGCCTTCCTGACAGACTGCAGTAAGGGTCAGCGTTATTTTCGCTCCCTGTGCTGTGTCTTCCGAACCGCTGGCTGCTGCCGTGGGAGAATGTTCACCAGGGAGGGAGGGAGGGAGGGAGGGAGGGGGCAGAAGTTGAATGTTGGAGATGGTCTCAGGCCGGATGCGGCCCATGGGCCACCAGTTGGAGCAGACTGATTTAACTCATGGCTTGGGCCAATAGAAAAGTGCGTCAGCAATTTTTCCATGGAGTCCATTACAAATGCCCTCCTCCGCTACAAACCTGTTCACACAGAGAGCTAAGCCCCGCTACACACCTGAACACCCGGTGTACCGCTATACACCTGTGCAGTGTGCAGTGCGCTGAGCCCCCGCCGCTCACTGTGCACACGGTGCACTGGGCCTCCGCGCGCCGCTAACTCCAAGCTGTTACTGTGGGCAGCTCCAGTTGCGCATGCGCGGCCCTGGGGAGTGTTGGAATTGCGGAAGCGGCGCGAGCGGGAAACCCGCGTGACCCGGAGGCCGAGCCTGAGCCCGAGCCCGAGGCCGAGCCCGAGCCCGAGCCGAAGCCCGAGGCCGAGCCCGAGCCCGAGGCCGAGCCCGAGCCCGAGCCCGAGGCCGAGGCCGAGCCCGAGCCCGAGGCCGAGCCCGAGCCGAAGCCCGAGGCCGAGCCCGAGGCCGAGGCCGAGCCTCAACGCAGCTCCTGATACCAATTCTTGGTAAGAGCTATACAATGCCAAATTAAGATTTTTAGTATTGTAAACATAACTACATGTTCAGGAAAATATATCTATAGTTGTAATCCAGATTGTTTCACAAAAATCATCTCTCAGTAGCACCAGTCAACCCGCGGTTTTCCACGGAATTTATTACATTTCTCCGCAATTTGGGGGAAATATTTGCGTACTTTTCTATTGCCTCATCTCATGGCTGTTTGGGAGGCATTGCCGAAGTGTGTTTTTGGTGGACAGTCAGTCAGAGACCAGCACGGAGTGGGCGGGCGGGCGGGCGGGTCGGGGAGAAGTCAAGGCTTTTATTTATCTTTTTCCACAATCTCCTTCCTTTCTCTTCCATCTCTCTCTCTCCATCAAACCCTCTCTGATCCGGTCATAATTATCTATACAATGAAGAGCCATGTTCCCAGCCCAGACCCCCCCCCCCCACCCGCTGCTCTCCTTATCGTTACCATCCACTGGAACAGGCAGTCAGGGCTTCAGTTTAATGTCCAATCTGAAGGACGGGCCTCTGACAGTGCAGCTCCCACACACCCCCACAAATGTGTAATACAATTCAATTTCATTTTATAAATCAATAGCCAATGAATACAAGTACATATAGTATTTTAACAGTATCTTCAGCAGATAAAATAGTGACGAATGTAGATAAATTGAGCAGCAACTGTTACCTTTCCCTATTGTGGTCCCACACTCCATGTTGCTGACTGCTGTTTCCTCCCCTCATAGGTTACTCTGATCACATGCACTTGGCCAATGAAACTGAATGATGTCTCCATGTGATGGAGTCAGTCTCACATCCTTCGTTCATTTGGGTCCAGTTCTCCGCATCAAACGGTTGGGGCACATTCCTCATCAACAGCCACGGCTCAGGGTTTGTTATTTCACTCACAGGCACCAGATGTCCGGAGGGGCCCCTCTCGGCTCGTAATAGTATTAAACTGCGTGTTGACCAGCAGTATGCAAACCCAATGATATCTCTGGGCGATGCAGCCAATCTCACATCCTTTGTCCATTTCAGGGTAGTTTAAAAGTGTGAGAGGTGATATCGAAAAGGGGGAGAGAGAAAGGCAGGGAAATGGGATAAAAAAACTGCCAGATGAGCAGACTCTGGGATCTGAATGGTCTCCTCCTGTAACTGCAGTACAGAATTCTGATGCCCTTAAATCCAGGTTCAATTTTGTAAACATGGGTTAATTTTTACAAACTGTGAGAGAACCATCTCGCAGGCTGTCACCGGGTGGAATTTCACACCAGTGGGCAACAGCTCATTAACTTGTTGAGATTAATGCTACCCCACTCCTCATAACTATGGTATCTTGATCAATAACTTGTTCCCTTCAGAATATTCTGCAGAGCATCACTGCTGTGCACAAATGCAGTGAGTGACACTGTAAAAGCTGTGTTGTTAGTGGTTAGATAGGGTCACAGCTCACTCCACAGATTTAATTGCCTGCTTTTTTATTCAAGTCTCTTTCACTGCTGGTATCCACTTGGCTCAGTCGCTTGCATTCTGGGTGATGGATTTGTGACGGTGGTGTGACGGGATCTGTGATGGGGTGTGTGATGGAGTGTGTCATGTCTGTGGTGGGAGGTATGATGGGGTGTGTGATAGAGTCTGTGATGCGGTGTACGATATGGAGTCTTTGATGGGGTCTGTGATGGGGTGTGTGATGGAGTGTGTGATGTCTGTGGTGGGAGGTATGATGGGGTGTGTGATAGAGTCTGTGATGCGGTGTACAATATGGAGTCTTTGATGGGATCTGTGATGGGGTGTGTGATGAGCTGTGTAATGTGGGATGTGATGGCTTGTGGGATAGGGTCTGTGATGTGGTCTGTGATGTGGTCTATGATGGGGAGTGTGATGGGTCTGCGATGGGGTGTGTAATGGGGCATGTATGATGGAGAATGTGTGATGGGGTGCGTGATGGGATCTATGATGCTACGTGCGATGGGGTCTGTGATGGGCATTCTGATGGGCATTCTGATGGGGTGTGATGGGGTTGTGATGGGGTGTGTAATGGAGTCTGTGATGGGTTGGTGATGGGGCATGTGTGATGGGGTGTGTGATGGGATCTGAGTTGGGGTGTGATGGGTTGTGTGATGGGGTGTATGATGGGATGTGTAATGGGGTGTGTGGTGTGGCTATGATTGGTTCTGTGATGGGGGTTTTGATGGTTCTATGATGGGATGCGATGGGGTCTGCTGTAGGGTGTGATGGAGTCTATAATGGGATGTATGATGTGGTCTGTGATGGGTCTGTGAAGAGCTGGGTGATGGGGTGTGATAGTATGCGTGTTGGGGTCTATGATGGGGTGTGTGATGGGGTCTGTGATTTGGGGTGTGAGGGTATCTGGGATGGGGTCTGTGATGGTGTGTGTGATGGGTTGTGTGATGGGGGTGTGTGATGGTGTCTGTAATGGGTTGTGTGATGGGTGTTGTGATGTGGTCTGTTATGGTGGTGTGATGGGGCCTGTGATGGGATGTGTGATGGACTGTGTGATATGATCTGTGATGGGAGGTGTGATGGGGTGCATGATAGAGTCTGTGATGTGGTGTATGATATGGAATCTTTGATGGGGTCGGTGATGGGTTGTGTGACAGGTTGTGTCATGTGGAATTTGATGAGGTCTGCGAGGGGGTCTGTGATGGGTTGTGCGATGGAGTCTATGATGTGGTGTGTGATAGAGTCTGTGATGCAATGTGTGATGGAGAATGATGGGGTTTGTGATGGATTTTGTGATGGGGTGTGTGATGGGTTTTGTAATGGGGTGTGTGATGGGGTCTGTGATGTGTTAAATGATGGGATGTATGATGGGGTCTGTGATGGGTTATATGATGGGATGTATGATGGGGTCTGTGATGGGTTATATGATGAGATGTATGATGCGGTCTGTGATGGGATGTGTGATGGGGTCTGTGATTGTGTGTGCATGATGGTTTGCATGATGGGGTGTGTGATGGCATCTGTGATGGTGTGTATGATGGGGTCTGTGATGGGGTCTGTGATGGGTTGTGTGATGGGGTCAGTGATGGGATCTGTGAAGAGGTCTGTGATGTGGTCTGTGATGGTGTGTGTGATGGTACGTGTGATGGGTGGTGTGATGGGTTTGTGATGGGCTCTGTGATGTGGTGTGTGTGATGTGGTCTGTGATGGGGTGTGTGATGGGCTCTGTGATGGGGTCTGTGATGGATTGTGTGATGGGTGGTGTGATGAGGTCTGTGATGGTGGTGTGATGGGGCCTGTGATGGTGTGTGAGCTGGAGTTTGTGATGTGGTGTGTGATAGGCTCTGTGATGGGGTCTGTGATCGGGTCTGTGATGTCGTCTGTGATGGATGATGTGATGGTTCTATGATGGAGAGTGTGCTGTGGTATGTAATGGGGATTGATGGGATCTTTGATGCCTTGTGTGATGGGGTGTGTGATGGAATCTGTGATGGTGTGTGCTGGAGTTTGTGATGTGGTCTGTGATTGGGTCTGTGGTGGGTTGTGTGATGGGGTGTACGATGGGGTGTGTGATGGGGTCTGTGATGGTGGTTTGATGGGGTGTGTGATAGAGTCTGTGATGGGGTGTATGATATGGAGTCTTTGATGGGGTCGGTGATGGGTTGTGTGATGTAGGATTTGATGGAGTCTGCAAGGATGTCTGTGATGGGTTGTGTGATAGGGTCTGTGATGCAATGTGTAATGTAGGATGATGGTCTGTGATGGGGGATGTGATGGGGGTGTGATGGTTCTATGGTGGAGATTGTGATGCGGTGTGTGATGGGGTATGTGATGGGATCTTTGTTGAGGTGTGTGATTTGATCTGTGATGGGTTGTGCGATGGGGTTTGAGGCGATCCTTAATGCCCTGTGTGATGGGGAATGATGGTCTGTGACGGGGTCTGTGACAGGGTGTGTGACGGGGTCTGTGATGGGGTCTGTGATGGGTGTATGATAGGATGTGCGATGAGGTCTGTGATGGTGGTGTGATGGGTTGTGTTATGGGGGGTGTGATGGGCTCTGTGATGGGGTGTGTGATGGGATCTATAATGGGTTGTGTGATGGGTGGTGTGATGAAGTCTGTGAGGGTGGTGTGATGGGGTGTATGATGGGGTGTGTGATGGAGTCTGTGATGGGGTTTGTGATGGGTCTGTGATGGGGGCTGTGAATGGTTCTGTGATGGGGAGTGTGATGTGGTCTGTGGTGAGAGGTGTGATAGGAGGTGTGATAGAGTCTGTGATGTGGTGTATGATATGGATTATTTGCTGGGGCTGTTGATGGGATGGGTGATGGGGCATGTATGATGGCGTGTGTGATGTCATCTGTGATGGTGTGTGTGATGGGATCTGTGTTGGGATCTGTGATGGGTTGTGTAATAGGGTGAGTGATTTGGGATGTCAGGGTATCTGGGATGGGGTCTGTGATGAGGGGTGTGATGGGTTGTGTGATGGCGTGTGTGATGTGGTTTGTGATGGGTCTGTAATGTGATGTATGATGGCTTGTGTGATAGGGTGTGTGACGGGGTGTGTGACGGGGTCTGTGATGGGTGGTGTGATGGAGAATGTGATGGGGTGTGTGATGGGGGTCTGTCGTGGGGTGTGTGATGGGGTCTGTGATGGGATCTGTGATGGGATCTGTGATGGGATCTGTGATAGGTTGTGTGATAGGTTTTGTGATGGGGTGTGTAATGACATGTGTGATATAGTGTGTGACGTTGTGTGTGATGGGGTCTGTGATGGGATCTGTAATGGGCTCTGTGATGGGGGCTTGTGTGATGGGGTCTGCGATAGCGTCTGTGATGGGGTCTGTGATGGGGTGCATGAGGGCTTGTGTGATAGGGTGTGTAATCAGGTCTGTAATGGGGTGTATGATGGCTTGTGTGACGGGGTGTGTGACGGGGTGTGTGATGAGGGTGTGATGGGTCTGTGATGCGGTGTGTGATGGGGGCTGATGGTCTGTGATGGAGTCTGTGTTGGGATCTGTGATGGGATCTGTGATGGGCTGGCTGATGGGCTCTGTGATGAGGTTTTGTGATGGCTTGCGTGATGGGTTCTGTGATGGGGACTGTGATGGGATGTGTTATGGAGTCTGTGATAGGGTCTGTGACGGGGTCTGTGATGGTGGGTGTGATGGTTCTGTGATGGTATATGATGGAATGTGTGATGGGATCTGTGATGCGTTGTATGATGCAGAGTGATGGTCTGTGATAGGGTGTGTAATGTCGTCTGTGATGTGGTGTGTGACGGGGTCTGTGGTGGGCTCTGTGATGGGGTGTGTGATGTGGTGTATGATGTGTTCTGTGATGGGGTGTATGATATTGGGTCTGTGATGGGGTGTGGGATGGAGTGTGTGATGTGGTCTGTGATGGGAGGTGTGACGAGGTGTGTGATAGAGTCTGTGATGTGGTGTGTGATATGAAGTCTTCGATTGGGTCTGTGATGGGGTGTGTGATGGCGTCTATGATGGGGTCTGTGATGAGGTCTGTGATGTGGTCTGTGATGGGAGGTGTGACGGGGTGTGTGATAGAGTCTGTGATGCGGTGTGTGACATGAAGTCTTTGATGGGGTCTGTGATGGGGTGTGTGATTGTGTGTGTGTTGGTGTCTATGATGGGGTGTGTGATTTGGGGTGTGATTTTTGCTCACACATACAGTCCATACAGTCAATTCACTTTACAGTCTATTTTGTGAAGCGCTTTGAGACGTCTGGAAGATGTGAAAAGCTCTATATCAAATGCCAGGATTATTATTATTATTATGGTATCTTTGATGGGGTCGTGATGGGGTGTGTGATGGCATCTGTGATGGTGTGTGTGACGGGGTGTGTGATGGGGACTGTGCTGGGGTGTGTGAATGGGTCTGTGGTGGGTCATGTGATGGGGTGTATGATA